AAAATAATAGGTATCATTTTTCACTCAGATTATGCACAATATCTAGTGGCAAACCACCAAATATAACGAAGGGTATAGGTACCATAGCAGAAGTCCATCCAATCTACCTTTCAGGACAAAAAAAATAAAATAAAATAAATAGGTGAGGAATTCCAGCTAAGTCTTGCTAGAGGAGCAGTGTTTGAAAGGCAGAAAAGGAAGAGGCCAGGAGGAAGCACCAGCAGAACAAAGGCATGGGGAGCAAACCAACTCGGCTTATTCAGGGAAATTATTAATTGACTCCGGCTTTGTGAACATAAGATGAATGAGGAAGCTGGAGAAATGGGAAGAGGAGGAAATAACGAAACTTTCTACCAAGCTGCGGAGCTTGAACATCGTCTTATACCTGACCAATCATGATTATGATGATGGCAGCTAACATTTACTGAGAGCTTGCTCTGGGCCAGGTGCTGTTCTAACTAATCCAACAAGGCAGGTCTGTTTTTCTTTTGGTTTTTTTTTGGGGGGGGGAGGTTCTTTCAAGCAAACAGGACACTGGAAAGGGCATGTCTATTTTCGTGCCCTTTCTATAGACGGGCAAATTAAAGACAGCTTGAAAGAGGTGAGCTGTTGAACTATTTTAAGCAAGAGTAGCATGTTATTTATATTTTTAAAATACATCTTTGTATGTAGTCAGTATATACAGATGAAAAGATGTATCTTGCCTTTGCTTCAAAATAACCAGAGAGATTGTGGGTGGAGATACAGAGATTTCCAGCAGCTGATAATTGCTGAAGCTGGATGATGCATACTATCATACTAGTCTCTTGTCTTTCATATGCTTGAAGTTTTCCATAATACAGTTTTTAAAAATCTCTGGCTTTAATATGAAGATTTGATTGAAAAGCGTGAAGTAGGAAGTAATGAGACCAGTTCAGGGATTCTTTAACAAGTGTGAGCTGATGACGACTGAGGAAGTGGCCGTAGGATAGACAGAAAAGGATATTTTGACAGAAAAAAATGCTTGGCAACTAGTCTTTGTGGTGGGGGCAGGGGTAGAGAAAAATCTCATGTTTAAGGTCAGTCTTAGCTTACTTGATGGATAATGGAGAGGTGTTAACATTACAGGGAATACAGAGTTTGGGAACGACAGAGGGAAGAGTGTGGACATGTGTCAAGTCTGCCTTGGCAGTAGGTTGGGGCATCTAGGTCAGTGGCCTTTTTGTAAGAAGGGCACATTGAATGTATCCCCAATGTACACATATTTGTGAATTGTCTACGTCTTCTACAGTGTGAATGCATCATGAAACTAAAAAGCTTTTTGCATAGCATGTTAGTTCTAGTGTTTCTTCCCCACTATCTAATGGGCTCTATCACATACTCTTACGAGTGTGCACACCCTACTTTGAGGACCACTATCCCATGTAAAGATGACTTTAGGATTGCAATGTTCAATCTCTTGAAGCCTCAACTTACTTCCCTGTAAAATGGGATTACTTTCCTACAGAGGAGCAATGAGAGTTATATGAGATTCTACGTACACACAGCTCAAGTACAGCCCCAGGAGGTCAGAAATGCTATCCCTGCCCCACATTTTACCTTCTCCCCACACCTCTAACCCATCCTCCACTTTCCTCAGTTTAGAATAACAGAACAGACAATATTTTTGTTTCCTGTGTGATGCATTTATAGACGCATTTAAGTACGATCCCAAGTGGCTAAGGACCTCTCTGCAGGTGTGAGAAAGCACTTGGCTTCATGGGCACTTGCTTGCCTCCAATCTATCCCCAAGCTGAAGTGCAGAAAGGCAGCTGGTCGCTTCATTCTGTGCAGCTTGGAAAGGGTTACATATCCTCACCAGAAACACACATGCACGCTTAACAGCCATACATCTAACATCCAATAAGGCAAATCAGTTGTTCAGAGGAAAATTTCTTCAAAAGACTAATAATTCTTCAGTTTATTGAACATTAGTAGGAATAGGGGAAGAGGTGAATGCGATACATCAAAGATTTCAGCTTGACAATTTATCACTCCAGCGACACCCGCGTATATCCTGTGTGGCTCTGGATGGCAAAATATCACCTCAGTTCCAGATGGTCCCCCCCAAAACGGGGACACGAGCCACATCCATGCTGTCACAGCAACTGCCAATAGAGAGCTGTGCAGAGACGTTCGTGGCTGTGGCTCACATCTCAGAGCCTCACTCAAATCCCTAACTCCCACCGAGTGGGGAAAAAAAACATTGAGAGACAAGCACAGAATTGGTGGCATCTCTGTCTGTAGAACATACTGCACATCTATATCTCAGAGCCTCACTCAAATCCCTAACTCCCACCGAGTGGGGAAAAAAGACATTGAGAGACAAGCACAGAATTGGTGGCATCTCTGTCTGTAGAACATACTGCACATCTATCTTGGAGATGAGAACTGGGAATTCTTTGTTCCTCATAGAGTATAAAAATGATCTAGACATTTTGACAAAATAAAGTTAAAACTTGAACTCTGCTTCCATCATTTTCTCTAGAATGGTAAATTCCTGTAAACCTTCACACTCCTGAGAACTGAAAACTGTATGCAAAATAAGTACATGTAATTTCTGATATACATTTCTGAAACAGTAATTTAACTGAAGCTAAAGACAAGGGGATGGTAAAAAGCTACAAAAAGCCTTGCCTTCAATTATTCACATAATCCAATGCTGCCCTCTAGCAACTCAAGAGAGAAATAGCACTAACAAGCCAACTGGTTTTAGGAATTTGAAGTTTTAGCCCTAATATTTACTATGCAAGATGTTGCTAAAAAAGGAGATGAGGAGGGTCTTCACAATAAGATAGCCATAGTCCATCTTAATAGAAAATGTTCGTTTAGAAAGATGCTGGGATAAGTTAACACTACCCTAACCAGGACATCTTCAACAGACCTGGAAGGGCCTCGAAGACAATGAAGATATCTGTCACTGACCCGTTTGTTTGAATACACTCAAGTGGGACCTATTACTTTGCTAGCAGAGCCAATTTTTGTCACTGGAAAAAAATTCCTCCTCCACCACTGTTTCTTTCATGTTTTAGGAGGGAGGTGGGTTAGAAGCTACTTGATACTCCTCATAACCCATCCCCTTAACACCTTTAATACATGATATAGTATCAGTTTTTCCGAAGAAATGTAGAAACTAGCCTAAAGCAAGCTTATATCATAATTAAAGAATCTGTGGAGCCAATTGTCAACCTTGGAACCCAAATCAAATGAAACATTCAAGTTGACATAATGAATATTTCCAGGAAGGGGAATGGCTAATAATTAGTAGGACCAGGTTTTCGTATGTTCCCTCCCCAAGTAACAATGACAATGATTCAAAGTGATAAGCCCAGAAAAGTCCATAATCACCTTTCCAGGAAGACCTGGAAGTTCAAAATTCACTCCATGAGATTTCAATGCTCATATCAAGCTGACTGACCTCCACAGCTTGTCAGAGTATCTGTTAGCTGATACTCTGAAACACGTTTCCAATTTCTCATGCTTAGTCTTAAAAGAAAGGCATCCAAGATGATGTGAGCATGAATGTGTATGTAGGTGGGGGGAAGAAGGAAGAAGCACAGACACTTATTTTCAAATAAAAGCTGCCATGTATTTATTACAATATTGCTGTTAACTTAAGCACAACTGGCTCTATAAATCATTCTCCACGCATCATCACACATTCAGGAAAGATTCTGAGAAGATACATCTGGACGGGATTTTCTCGCCGCTCAACCGGACCTGAGAAAAGAACAGAAGAAATCATATACCTGATTTATAATTGCTGGTCACCAACAACCAACATGTACTGGCAATGTAATTTTGAGAGATAGGATAGATGGACTGTTTCCCTTTCCTGGCTAAAGCTTTGCTCAAAATTCCTCTACCTTTAAAAATCCCTTTCCCTAATTAAATCTGTCTGCACTCCCAGAGTCTCTCCTCAACATTCATGAATCCCAAGAAGGCCAACTGCAAAGCTCAACCTCATAACTACCACCATATCTCAAGTCAAAGATCAAGTCATGAGAAGGGAAGCATATCCTATATTTTAACTATCTCTGTGAAAACAGGACAAGCCACTTATAACCTCTCAAGAAACACATACACAATGAGAGGGTTCAAGCTCATACAAGATATAGCAATATGTAAAGGTACCGATCTGTTGGTTATCTCTATTCTCTTTTGTGGATTAAACATGCTGAGTAATTATAATTTTGATAACAATTCTGAATGCAATATTAGAGATATGACCTCAGTAAGAACTGAGCCAGATTATGTGATATAAGATAATAAATTCCAAAGGAAGGTTCAAGTCCAGCTGGACAGTTCCTGGTCTACTTCCATCCCATTCCCCTAACTGAAGATGCAACAACCTAGGGGTAGAGAATCAAAGCTCAGCTAAGGCGGTAGGTACCTCTGCCAACTGATAGCAATGGGAGTAACCTTAAAACCTGTAGAATTTATGAGAAAAGGATTTTCTTACTTCAAATAATCGCTTTAGAAGTCTGAGTAATGATGCAACCTGAAAAAGTGAAAAGTAAGTCATCTGAACAACTTTGTAATTACTCACAGTATTGTCAATCAGATCACGGAATGGCACTTAGGAAGAATTTAGGGGGAAAATGTAATCACAATTACTGCCTCAAATTTTTAGATAAAATCATTAAGCTTGCTCCAAGCATCAAATTGGGGTCTATGAAATAACTGGTCAGCCAAACCCAACAGAAATGTCAGTCCAACCCACTTACTGGCATAGCTAAACACAGTCTCATCCTAGAGAGCAATGCTCTGGTGAAAAATCTAATGGCCTTTGGGACTTTCTTGGAGAAAACAGTATTTCAGTTATTAAAAAAAAATCAAAGCTCTGGAAGAGAATTTCTAAGTGCAAGAAGAATCTGCATCCTTTTATAAAATCCAAACTAAAACAGAACCAATACAAAACTGATCTGAAATGGAATTATCCCGGTATAACCCATTTTCCTTTCAAATTAAGTAGAACTTTAAACCATATTATTGTTTGTTATATTCTCTTTCCACAACTATCTCCTCAAAACCAATTTACACTCCCTCTCTTCCTCACCCCCAATTTCAGTTTATTTTGAAAGCAGGCATTCCCTAAAGCATACAAACATAAACACAAGGTTCTATGTAGCATTTACTAACAACACAAGGAGCAAGGAGAGAGGCCTGTGATTTAAGCCACAGGTTTTCTACTGAAAGCTCTTTAGTTCTCCCTGAGGGTCCACCTTGTCATCTATATCTTCCAGCAATGATGCCATTAGATTTTGTTTGTTCTTGTTTTATAGCCAAGTATGCTGGGTACAGAAAAAAACCTGGACAGGGCAAATAACTTTTGGATATATTCATGGTTAACATCCTTATTTACAGCTCACAGCTACAGGCAAAGAAAACAATTTTTTTAAAAAAATCACTTAAATCTAGTGAAATAAACAGTGAATTGTCAAATCATCAGAAGTTAATCTAAACATAAGGCACCAAGAAAGTGACAATATTATTAAAGTAGCTACTTTTCTTCAATTTGACATTCTTTCAAAATACAGTTTTACCAAAAAAAAAAAAAAAAAAAAAAACCATATATATATTCCCCAGGTGAACTTTTCTGTTAGTGACATTTAATGGTAGAAAAATACACAAAGTTAGCTAATAAAGGCACCAAGAAAGTGACAATATTATTAAAGCAGCTACTTTTCTTCAATTTGACATTCTTTCAAAATACAGTTTTACCAAAAAAAAAAAAAAAAAAAAAAACCATATATATATTCCCCAGGTGAACTTTTCTGTTAGTGACATTTTATGGTAGAAAAATACACAAAGTTAGCTAATAAAGATGAGAGTCAAGCTGAATTGCAGAATTAATAAATTGTGTATAAGTGCAGAATTGTAGCCTAGGTATACATAGTATCTTGTCACATTTTCAAAAGAAGTTTCTAGGTATCACAGATTTTTAAGCATAAATAATACCTACCTATACATCAGAGCCTTGCCCTTCTCATTCCCCAACGCAAAGTATCCACTTCTGGGAGAAAAATCCATTGTATGAACATGAGAAATATTCTTTTTAATGACTGGGAAGTTTGAAAACACTGTACAAGAAGGAAGATGAACCTGCAGGAGATAATAAAAAGCTTTCAACTGCAATAACTGGGAACTCATCTGCCTTAAATTTTAATCTTCAGTCCATTTTTTTTTTTCTGGAGCAAAAATTCATTTTGATTGTAGCACACATGAAAGTACAGTTCTCTTAATATAGCAAAATGTTCCAAAATTAAAATTTGACCTTTAATGCACTATTAACTGAAAGGGAAGGGGAGAAAGCTTTAATGCAGCATCTAGCCAGATACCTGGGAGATTCAAATGTATGTTGAACGAATAAATGAGTTAATAAACTAAATGCAAACTCAATGGTAGTTCACATTACTGCTCTAGCTTAAGGACCACAGTAAAGACTAAACTCTGATCACGGGGAACAAATATTTTAAACATTATGAAGAGTCTGATATTTACATAACTGAAGCCGAGGCAAAGTCATGCCATGTCTTCCAATATCATAAAATTTCCTTCTTACACTTTAATTTTTCATCTACGTGATAAACTCTTTGTCTTTTGCAGTCTTTCCTCAAAGAGAGCTGAATCATGAAAACCTGATTCATCAAGTGAAACTGTTCTGACTTAGAGCCAAAAACTCACTCAAAGCCAAGCCTAAGCCTGAGGAAGGACACAGTCCTTTTCTCCAGACTCTACTTCTGGGGAAAATGGGCCCAAGTCCAAGACAGGATCGACAAGCCCTCACACAATCTGTGGATGAATAAAACCCAGGCATAGAAACAGGTGCCTTAAATAGACTATGATGGTAACAAATCTCACTTTCAAAAGTTCTCTTGCTCTTCTAAGAAATACAGCACCTTCATGTTCAAATACACAGTTGTCATTCAGCTATTTATCTTAGCAGTCTGTCATCCTCCACACTTCTAGATGAAACTGTACAATATCCAATCAAGGTGATTTTCAAAAACAAGTACTAGGTAAAACCCACTGATACATCTATCAGCTTTCGGTCAGTCACTTATCAGGCCCAGCTTCCTCTGATGTATACCTACTGGCCATTTTGTCAAGAGAGTAAAGCTTACAGTGAATCTCTAAGTCATTTTCAACTCTGCCAGAAGGCAGATTCTGCCAGCGCAGCATGACATCAATGCTAACGCATTAGTGCTAATGAGAAGTGTTCTTGACCTATTAAAGCTAAGAAGTTGGCAGTAACCCTGATTTGATCTTAACTTTTAAAGTTCTTAAACACCACTGTCTATACAGATTTCTTGAGAAATTACTTTAGGTAAATATTTTTTAAAGGCACTTAATAAAACAGATTCCTGTTTTACGAAGAGAAGCCACAATACAGATATGCATAATGTATTTACACTTAGCTTAGCAATGCCGAAATTATACGAATCTTTTGATAAGTGCCTTGGCTTCTTCATTTGTTTTGCTTAGGTTATTTTAAGTCTGCATCCTCCAAACATGCACCAACTACTATGAACCAGTGACCCAAAGCATCAGGGGAGCAAAACATTTGTCCCACCCCTGACTTTTGTTCCCATCCTATTTTATCACTCGATACTCTTAAACTGTGCCTCAAATATTTGCTCATTAACTTTCCTGACAGGACTCAAGTCTGGGGAGCTGGTTTTCTGACTCTTCCAGAACTAACCTTTCTATGTGAATACTTCCTAAGGATAATTAAATTAAACCACCTTTTTATTTACAAGCTAAGTTGTAAAAAAAAAAGGTCACATAATTTGGATTCATGTAACTTTATAATTAAATCGATTGCTAATCACAAATAAGGGCAAAACTTGGAGCACAAGACACAACGGCAATTCTTCAAAGCCCACTTTTACCAGAAGGTAGTTCCATACTTTTGTAGCTAAATAAACAGAACAAAACACCACAAATACTGTGGTAAATACACACATTTACAAAGTCTTTGATGTAAATGGTGCCCTCCTAAACATGGTGCCCTCATGCAACAAATAACCTACACTACCATACACAGTATAGTATGTGTGGCCATGCACTCACACAAAGGGCCAGAGTGCTCCTTCTGATGCAAGATAAATGCCAATTTATCAACAACTTATTTTTTTTTTTTTTTGAGACCGGCCACACCGCGCTCAGCCAGTGAGCACTGTGAGCGCACCGGTTATCCCTATATAGGATCCGAACCTGCAGCGGGAGCACCCGCACTCTCCCGAGTGCGCCACGGGCTCGGCCCTATTTTTTAATAGATCTGCAACATAACCAGCACCACTTTAGACAAGCCCAAGTACAAACTGGCGCCACCCACCTCCTCCCCTCCCCTCCCCCTTCCCTTTACAAGAAGCCTCCTGACTTAGAAACAAGTTTCCAGCTTCTGCATCACTGCAGTTCTCCACCCAGTTACATCAACCTAATGGTCTCTCCACCCCGTACATTTCGTGCCCAAAAGCTAATATAAACTCTCGCGAACCCATTGTTGGGGCTGTCCACCATTTTCAGGGCAGCCCTGGGCCCTGTGCCACTATGAGCACAGCCCAGCAGATTTCTTTCTTTAATAAAGCTTGAACGGTACCCGGCATCTTGGCTCACTTGCTTTCATTTTTAAATGTTATCTCCTCCACCGACATGGAATATGGGGATGGATGTTACAATGTCCTCCCAAGAGACTCAGTAGCATCTGTCTGCAAAGTTCCCCAGCGTAATCTCTCTCTACATTAGTGGCCTTTCCCTCAGACCAGTGATCCCCCCTTAGCAGAGAACTAGGCTGTGCTCTGACCTCTCTTTATGGTCCTGTATTAAAAGCTATAATTGGGGGCTGGCCAGTTAGCTCAGTTGGTTACAGCAGGTGTTATAACACCATGGTCAATGGTTTGGATCCTCATACTGAACAGTAATGAAAAAAAAAAAAAAAAAAGCTGAAATTGAACTATTAATTAAAAGCCTCATAAAGATCCGATTTCTCTAATTCGGAAAGATCCCTTATCTCTAACACTATTTCTGTCATGACAGTTAAGGGTCCACACATCAAAATCTAGCAAGTAAAAGCTCACTCATCCTTGATTTAATGGATAAGAAATTCCAGACTTTCTACTTCATCCAAAATTATAGATGTAATAATCATGTGACTTCTGGGTCTCCTACTGGTGTAATGGCTTAGATTTATCTTCACTGCTTTGTATTGGGATAACAAAACTGTTCGGGTCATTATAAGCAATTGCGTTTAATGATACTAACACTGTTTCACCAAGGCATTCTGAAGCTGCTATGCCTGGCTTCCTTCCATTAGATATTATGGTTGACTACCATATAAAAAATGTGATTTGGCTGTTACTAATGAATTCCTTGTGCGATTTTGCCACAAACATAAATGCTGTCATGATCACTGAAGCAAACTAGGCAGAACTAACTACTATGTGTCTTGCAGAATATATTATGTCAACAGGAGACAGATACCACGGTTTTCTAAAATAATTTAGTACCATTAAAATGATAAAAGGTTAATATGTACTAGTACACCACTCCCATTAGAGAAGGGATTTTAAAGCTGACTTGAATTAGAACCTTCTCATGTATCAAATGATGCATTCAGAGAGGAAATAAAATGCAACGCTGTATTTTTCAAACTTTTTCCAGCAGAACCCTTTCTTAAGAAAATCTTATGCAGAATCCCAACATATACCACCACAGGTAACAATGACGTTGCTCTATACACTACAGGTAGGAGCTTAGCTTCCTCCATGCTCTACTTGCCATATGAGGTCCTGTGCAGATTCTAGGGCTCTGAAGAATTCAGGTGGAAAACCACTGAATTGCTGGAAAAGAGTAATGGGATGTTGAATCACAATTCTGCTCTTTACGAACTGTTGACTTTGGGTAAATTAATAATCCTCTTCAGGACTTTTATTTGGCTCAAATTTTTTTTGTAGAATTCTTTGTAAATCTTTGTAAACTATACACTATTATACGAAGCTGATGGAATATGCAAGGCTTTATGCTGAGTGAGTAAGGTAATAATTGCAGTCTTTGTAAGTGCTTGTAATCTGATAGAATATACATAACAACAGCACAATGCAATACTGCTATTCAAAATTCTAAGCCATCTGCATACCTGGTGCCTAGAGCAAATAATAATTAAACGAATAAGGAAATTGGTTTCACCTCAAGGGTAGGAAACTTCAGGGGTGACATTTAAACTGAGCTCTGGGCCACCCGGTGGCGCACTCGGTAGAGTGGCGGCGCTCCCGCCGAGGGTTCGGATCCCATATAGAGACCAGTCCGCTCACTGGTTGAGCACGGTGTGGGCGCAACACCAAGGATTGCGATCCCGTTGCCGGTCGCGGTACGGGCGCGACACCGAGGGTTGCGATTCCGTTACCGGTCACGAAAAAAGACAAAAAGGAAAAAAAAAAATTTTTTTAATAAAAAATAAACTGAGCTCTGAGGTTGGGCACAAAAGAGTTAACATTGGCCTGAGGTTGCTATCTTTAGAAAGGCCTGCTTGGGATGGCCAGTTAGCTCACTTGATTAGAGCCTGGTGCTGATAAAGGCCTGCTTACAAGGATGGCCCTTGGATGCTATCTGGGTACTTAAGTAGTAAACACTTCCTTACACTGGTAATACCCTTTCCCTAAATGATAGGGTGGCTCAATGTGCCTATACTATTTGTATAAACAACGTGGTTTATGCTGAATACCTGGCTCTACTTCTGGGAGTCTAGAATTTTGGTACATGTTAGGCAAAGGGTACCTTCATGAACCCCCAATAAAAACCCTGCACTGAGTCTCTAATGAGCATCCCAGGTAGAAAACACTTAACCCATGTTATTACAACTCATTCCTGGAGGAATAAATGTGTCCTGTGTGACTCCATTGGGAGAAGATTCTAGAAGCTGGCACCTGGTTCCCTCCAGACTTCTGCCAATGCGCGTTTTCCCTTTGCTGACCTTGCTTGGTATCCTTCTGTATAATAAATCTTAGCCATCAGTATGATTACATGTAGAGTCTTGTGAGTCTTTCTAGTAAACCACACCTGGGAGTGGTCCTGGGGACTCCTGATACAGAGGTATATTCACAGGTATTACCTATTTAAATTGCAGTACTTTTACACAATTTGCCTCTACCCTATTAAAACAACAGGCCTTAAAAAAGGTAGATAAGGAAAAAAATTATAGAGGAATAAAGTGTTTGCTCATCATGACTTAATCACCCCCTAAAAGCATCCTCATGACTTAATCACAGAGCCCTCATGACTTAACCACCTCTTAAAGGTCCACCTCTTAATACCATCATGTTGGCAATTAGGTTTCAACACAGGAATTTGGGGGGACACACTTCATCATGACTTAATCACCCCCTAAAAGCATCCTCATGACTTAATCACAGAGCCCTCATGACTTAACCACCTCTTAAAGGCCCACCTCTTAATACCATCATGTTGGCAATTAGGTTTCAACACAGGAATTTGGGGGGACACACTCAGACCATAGCACAAACTTGATTAGTAATTACAACATAAACCTGAAAGATGCAATAAATTCAGCCTCAGTCTCACAAGTGACAAACAGAGATTCCACTAAGTGTACTCTTTCCTACCACTCAAACATCCTCATTTATTCACTTACTACTTGTTGCTTGATGTCAATGAGCCAGGCACAACTTTCATGTGAAAGACCCTATAGCTTGACACTGTAGCAAACACACAAACGATACGTTAGAATTATTTAATTCTGTAAAGTCTTCCAACTACTTACATACACATTTTCTCATTTGAATCAAGTAATTTAATTAGAGCTAATCTTGCTTAGTCTATACCAACCACTCACAAGGAACATATACATCCTCGGTTTATAGAATTTTGTTATGAACTGAATGTTTGTGTCCCCCCAAAATTCTTATGTTGAAATTCTAACTACCAATATAATAAAATTAGGAGGGGAGGCTTTGGGAGGTGATTCGGTCATGAGCATGAAGCCTCATGAATGGGATGAGTGCCCCTATAAAAGAGACCCCAAAGAACTCATTCACTCGCTTTCCACCATAGAGAGTAAAGCGAGAAATCATGCATCTGCAACCCAGAAGAGGGCCCTAACCAGAACCCAACCATGCTGGCACCCTGATCTCAGATTTCCATCATCCAGAACTATGAGAAATAAATTTGTTTTTATTAGCCACCCAGTCTACGGTACTTTGTTACAGCAGCCTGAACTGAGTAAGGTAAATTTCATCTTTTCCTTATATATAATTTTTGACTGGGATCAAAATACCTACTCCTTGTGCTTATTTTATACTAAATCTGTTCTTGCTGAAAACTGATTTATGCCTAAATCCATCTTAACTAAGAATGATAAATTATAATCCATACAACTCTTCTAAATATCAATTTTAGATCAAATCTTACCATCAAGAACATCAGCAGCTCCTTAAATAACGCCTATTCTTATTTGACCATTGCTTAAATTTGTGTAACAAAATGGCACAATTATTTTTATATATGGAAACTTACTCTTACAGTTGAATATACCTGATTCTAACATGCTGCTATAACTGGTGAACAAATATTTGTTGAATGATATCCATATGTCCAGCAGTGTGTAAAGTGTCACAGGAATACAGAATATCAGAAAAAATATACCTGCATAAAATAGCGAGATACAAGAGAACATAATACAACTCTAAGTTCTATCTAAGACCTGGAACCTCAAGAAGGGAAATGGTATGAGATGAAGTTGCTCCAGATGAGCTTTGTGGAAGAGCTAGAACTCAAGCTGGGGAAGGCAAACATTAGGTGGGAAAAAAAGGATATCATAGGTGAGAAGAAGAGCAGGAACAACGAGAGAAATAAGCTAGAAATAAACCTGAACTCCTACCTAAAGAATGACGTGACTGTTATCTTCCCACCCGACCACAGCTGACTGAACTAGAAGTGAGCTCCTGAATCAAGGGCAGTCAATCCACTAAGCAATCAGCAACCATGGAGTGTCCTGCCTGGTATACAAGTTCTTTGCAAACAGGAATGATAGCCATTAGGCAGATCAATATCTCTCTTAAGAACTGGGACTAGGAACTATGGTACTGATGGTGGTGGTGGGAGTACAAGCTGAAAACACATCTAGAGTGAGCACATAAGGGCCACAGATAAATTAATACTCTGAGCAAGAAGGAACTATAAAGTAGAACAGTGATTATTAACCAGGGGCAATTTTGCACACACACCCCCCCAGGGGACATCTGACATTTTGATTGTCACAACTGGGAATTGAGGAAGTGAAGGTGAGCTACTAGCATCTAGTGAGGAGAGGCCAGGGATGCTGCTAAACATCCTACAGTGAATAGGACAGGTCCCACAACTGAATTATCCAGTCCAATTTATCAATAGTGCCAATGTTAAAAAAAAACGTGAAGTGGAGGAAAAAATGCGAACAAGTGACTGGTGCCCACACTTCATAGTGCATAGGCAGCACTTAACGTATTAAAAAGTAGATTCCTGAGCTTCATTCATGTGCCCACCCTCCAACCCCAGCGTTCTGGCACACAGCTAGAATAGAGCCCAGGAATCTTGGTTTTTAGCAACTACTTTGAGTATTCTGATGCTGCAGAGGGTTTAAGTGCCACACTTAGAGAAATACTTGAGTATGAGGCAAACTGATAAGGGCGAGAGCAATGCAAAAAGTCAAGGAGAGAAGCTGTAATACTGTAACAGCGGCACATAAACTGCTGCTGAGGGACTCAGCAACAGTCCTGTCCCTAGGCCCACATGAATCCTTCTGATACCTAAACTCTATTCCTGCCTGTGTGGCCTCATATATAGCTGTTTTCTTCTCCTTCATTGCCATGTGATGGTGGCCTGAAGAAGTCCACTCCTCCTAAATTAAGAGTTTAAGACACAACCATATTCACCATAGCCACAGATGCCCTACAGAAACCTCTAACTAAATAAATTAAAAACAATTCAGGGCCGGCCCGGTGGCGCACTGCTACAGTGCGCCGCTTGAGAGC